TATAGCCCTGAAAAAAAGGTTAATTGTTTCTTCAACGAAGTTTTTACAAAACTTCGCTATCCAATGTAATTATACAAACAATTTTTTTTTTTGTGAAATCCATTTCAGTCTAGTGGTAGCATCACTAATATGTAATATCCGCCCTGCCAGCCCGGGTGTCTTGGTATTCTTTTTTTCTGCTGAATTTCCGATTCTGCACTCCAGTTGAAATGAGTCTCAGACTCCCGCAGTAAAAATATTACCTTGCGCTTTTTCCTTTCTTTTCGCATTACATTCTGACAAGCATAACAAATTTTTGTTTTGAAATTTCATTCAGCTAATTCTTTTTCTTCGTCGCGTTTCCTTTCGCTACTGATGTAGCTGGTAACTTCGTCATTCTTCTCTATTTTTGTCCTTTGTCATTCGCATAATTCCATACATCAGCTCTAGCTAATTCTTGCACCACGTGTGCGAATACGGTGTGGTCTCTTTTAACATTCTGTCGCTACTATTTCAATAATCCCCTTTACAAGAATTAATAATTAATAGAAAAATTAGTAAATCGATTGATTTAGAGCTTATTAAGAAGGAGAAGGCGGAGTTTTGAATTGCATGAGGAAGAAGAACATGAATTTATCAATTACAACTCACAACAAATGATGCGTAGTCCGGCGCCAGATTGGACATTCGAGGTATCAACTCTTTCCTTCTGGCAAGAAGCCAAAAATGAGTGACAGATTTAGTGACATATGTCTAAAATTTCACAAAGTTTATTGGCAAGAAAACCCCATACACTTAACATAAAGACTTTTGTACTGGTTTCTCGCAGTCTAGGAAGTGCTGCTTGTAATATAAGAAACCACCCATTGGCCGGCTCGATAAAAATGTGAGCGGACAGTCTGCCGTAACATGTAATCGGCGTGTGGATTTAGGGCTATGTAGCACGCGTGTAATAAGAGATTCCGCAAAAAATTTCATCTGTGCTCCTGCAGTCACAATAGTTTCAAATCTTTGGATCGCGTACGATGTGGAACATCCTCCTAAAATTTTAGCTTCCTAGCTT